AAAAAAAAAAAAAAAAATTAATGGTAGTGCTTTCCATAATCGAGGCAAGAAGCTATTTATTATTATACCTAAAACACTGGTCATCTAGCATCTCCCTTCTTGTTTTTCTGAGGGCTCCTTCCTGCTCTGTAATCTGTTGCTTGGATCAGGACTCCACTACCCCCCTGACCTACCACTGAAAACCACAGCTTCTCTCTAATGCTAGATCATTAACATCAACTTTGAAGATTTCAAAAGGTTCAGACTATATGTCAAAGATATTCAAGTGAGGACTAATGACTGAATCGTACACCCCTTCTTGTATTCTTGTCACTCTTTTCCCACAGAGACAAAGCTGCTTGTACCGGTGACATCAAGAACTAGTCAAGATTCACCTACGTAGTGATTATCACTAGAACTTTACTTTTAGCTACTGTTGAGTCTCCCAACTTAGGGGAAAACAGCAAAGAAATAAAAGTCATATTCTCAGCATCCAACAGTATCAGACCTCCTCTCAAAACTGCACTGACTTTGAACACCAAGTCTATGTTATAGGGAGGTCGTGGACAGAAAAAAAAAATCTGAGGCAAAGGGAAAAAGTAGGACTTGAACTTTTGTAATTGAAAGGAATAGGAATTCCAACCATCTATCTAGGAACTTCCATCAGTAGTCATCAATAATAAGTTACCTAAATATTATTACTGAAACATTCATGATTGGCATAGACAAAATGCTTCATGTTTGCAAGGAAGACAAAATATGTTTTAAATCCTGTTTGTCTAAATATATACACAAACCTGCAATACATGAAAAGCATTTACTCATATATATTAATTTATTACTTTAAAAGTATGTTACCAATTAATATGACTTAATTAGAATTTTCATTCTAAAAATTTGGGCCCTCAAAGGCAAATAAATACCACAACAGAGGGGCACCTGGGTGGTTCAGTTGGTTAAGGGTCCAACTCCTGATTCGGCTCAGGTCCTGATCTTACCATCTGTGAATTCGAGCCTTGCTCAGTGCAGAGCCTGCTTGGAATCCTCTCTCTCTCTGCCCCTCCCCTGTGCAGTCTCTCTCTCTCTCTCTCTCTCTCTCTCTCTCTCTCTCTCTCTCTCTCTCTCTCTCTCTCTCTCTCTCTCTCTCTCTCTCTCTCTCTCTCTCTCTCTCCCCCCCTCTCTCTCTCAAATAAACAAATAACTTTAAAAAAAAGAAAAAAAACACCATACCAGAATAAAATATAGATATGACTGAGGGGGGAAAACCTTTTTCAATTAACATCTGAACATGCTTCAATAAGCAAATGCTTCAAAGTATATGAGAAAAGTTAGAAACAAGGAAATTAAAAATGTAAATATTAAAGTCTTCCCTATCTCAGAGACTTTAAAAGCTCTCCCCCCAGATTTGTTTTCAAATTATTCTTTGATTTCAAACTGTCTGTCATCACACTTTCACCCACATCATCAAGTCTTTCCCAAACACCATCATTATCAAAGCCCAGGTGACACTGGTGAAAGTCTATTGAGTTATTTTCCTATTTCTCCCCTCTATTTGCACAGTAAATAAATATCAAAATTTTCATGATATCTTTTCAACTGAAAAAAGAAAAACAGGGGACACAAAGTTTTACTCTATTAAAATATAACAAAAGAGGGTCTTAATAAATGGAAACTGTCCCTCCTCTTCCCCCAAAACTTACAAATATGACAATGTACTCAAAGCTACATACTACATAAATATGGCTAAGAAAGGAGAAACATATAGAAACCTCTTTTTAAATTATTAATTATTCCTGAAGCCTAATTACTAAAATTGTGTCAATAAAACATGTATCAATTCTAGTATCCTCACTACAATACAGAATTACATCTTTTTTTTTAAATGTTTTTATTTATTTTTGAGAGAGACAGAGCACAAGGTGGGGGGGGGGGGGCAGAGAGAGAGAGAGGGAGACACAGAATCAGAAGCAGGCTCTAGGCTCTGAGCTATCGGCACAGAGCCTGACGCGGGGCTCAAACTCACGAACTGCAACATCATGACCTGAGCTGAAGTCAGATGCATAACCAACTGAGCCACCCAGGTGCCCCTAATTACATCTTTTTGCGGCCTCAACTTCCCTTAGCACAAACGAAAACATAAATTATTTTAATCTGGATGAGTCATGGCATATTAGGAAACTGTCAAATAATTAAACAATTAAAACTACATAAATGTACTAACTGGTACTAGAAGAAACCCCTACCCACTGAAGTTCTAAAATTAAAAGGCTTATATTAAAAATAAGGTCTCTTCATATTTATAGTTCATATTTTTGAAAGAAAAAACAGACCTCAGAAACGTATTTGATGCATAATCTGGGAGAATATTTTTAAAAAGAACTTTCTAAAACAACCTTGCATGTTACTTATAAATAGACTAAAACAATTCCAAACTGAATTCCAAACAAAACTAACAGAACTAAATTGACTACACTTCTATGAGCAAGGCAATACTGCAGCACAGTGCAATAAAAATAATTTGTTAAAAAAGACTATGCACAGAGAACAGCCAATGCTGGCAACTAGGATAAAGTGAAGTAAATTAAACTGCAACATACACACTACCAAAAAAGTATAAAGACACTTTCTACAGCAACACCAGTTAATTTTCAACTGTTGCTAACTAGCTCCAACTCTATATGAAATGGAGAGTGGGGTTGGAGGAAGTGGGGGAAATATCCACTAAAAACCAATTCTTCAAATAAATGTAAATTAAACAATTTTGCTTTCTATATTTAACTGCCAATGCATACTGTAATACAAATTAACACTGACAACTTGTAAAAATTCTAATAACTTGTACATAAGTGGAAATAGCATCACTTATGGATTTTAGTATTAATTTACTAATATGAAAATTGGATTTGCATATCTTAAATACGCAATCAACATTCATTTCGAATCAGCAATGATTAGGAAGCCAGTAAGAGGCATGCATTTGATAAAACTGGATCGTAACAGATCCACACGATAAAAGTCTAAGTTTCATGGTGCAACTATTTTTACAGGCACAAACTGCTATATACCAGCATCAATATTCTTAGTAGTCTCTTGTTTAAATTGTCATGATATAATCTTAATATTTCAGTAAGAATTGGAAAATATATTAAAATCTACAGATTATATCCACAAAACTCTCCAAAATATTGTCGCTTAGGTACTAAAGCCAGTCATTTCAAGTATTACAGAACTAGATTCCGCTAACTGGCACCATAAACATTTAGATTAACTGCAACGGTATCACGGTCTTTGAAAAGTGGAAGTGTGAAGATATTTTCCAAACTTTTAAAATTGTTTTTTTTCAAAAAACCCCAAAACGTCTCAGATAGGATAAGTCTATAATTTTCAGAGTGGTTCAAATTATCTGAAAACTTTGTAATATAACCTAAAAGCGTAAGCCGCTACGCTCCACAAACAAGACCCTACCAATATCATTCAAGTAATATCAACTTTAAATAATTTTCCAGCCACATAAATTATTTTAACCTGTTTTGGAAAGAGATCATGCCAAACAACAGACCCTCTCCTTTCGCTCCACTTTCCCCGGCTTCTGACAGATAGGTTGCCAAAAGTAACTACCTAGGGAATGTAAAGATAAAGCAGCACTCCTCAACCTCCAGGACCCAAATCTCCAAATGACCACTGTCGGGCAATAAGCAAGACCAAATACAACCAACAGCAAGATAATTTTTCCTAATAGATCTGGAATGCGTAAGAGGGAGCCTCTAAATCTAAGACCATATTCCTGCCCGCTTCCAGCTTATACAAATGCGAATACTGCGCCAAGGGTTCCCAAGCCCAGAAATGGTAGTGTTCCGGCAGAGCCTTTTGTCTGAATAGACCAGACTCCGTAGAAAAACTCGCCAGAATCAGTACAATAGCGAGAAACGAAGCCTGAGCCGAAGGAGCTATTGCACAGTTAAGGGTGGGATGCTGAAGGAGAGCTAAAAATCCTGACGTGACCCGAGCGGGGATGTAGGACAACTCGGGGCCTCCCCATCCCGGGTCCGCCCAACGCCTTGCCCCCAGTACCCACACCAATTCACACAATTCAAGCTTACCTCCTCCCCGAGCTCCTGTCGCAAGCTCAGTCGGGAGGCGCTACCGCCACCACCGCTCCGAGGAGCGGGGGAGGCGACTCTCTGTCCCCGCGCCTGGACCCGGGAAGACGACGACGAGGAGAAGGAGGTGCGCGCGCGACTCCCGGGAACCGGCCCTCCGCTAGCGACGGGCCCCCGGGGTGGCTGAGAAGCAGAACCCGCCCGCCGCTTCGCCAGGGTCAAGTGAGACTGACACGTAGGAAGAAAAAGAACGAAGAGAGACTGGAGAGTAAGAAAAGGAAACGAAAACACTACCAGGCCGCTAGGAGAACCGACTCAAAACGCCGCCGGAAGTCAAGTGTTTGCCCTGATCCCCTCTAGACCGCGGCAGCTTCCGGCCTCCAGATTAGTCGTCAGCGCGCAGGCACCGCCCCTTCGGAGACACGCCCCCGGGCGTAATGTCTGCTCCTAGGAGTGCCGGGGAAATCATCACGTCTGTGCTAGGTGAGAGACCCCCGGAGAGGCGTGCCCGAGCCAGGGGGGGAGCCAAAGTTGCCAATAAAAAGTGAATCTAAGAGAAAGAGTTTACGCCTTTTATTATATGATGTCTTACAATAAACAGCTGTAGTAAATACACAAAATGCCACATTTGTTGTTGACAATAACTACAGCCATTCATTCATGTGCTCAGAAATGTGCACCGAGCGGTGATAGAAGGTGTTTGTACTGTTGTTGACGCTCCTCCGCTTTCTGGGCCTTCGCTTATTACTGTAGAGCAAACGAGACACGGTTGTGTTTTTAAAGGCGCAAGGCAGTTCGTTGAAAATTTGGAGCAGAAATTTTTAATGTCCTAACCACCTTTCCTTTTGTGGTCCAATGATCTGCAAAAAACTAGTTATTAAAATTGCTTGAGGTCGATGGTCAAACGTCCTTAAAGAAAAAAAACTCGTATCTAGCCTCTTACATGTTTTTTAGAAAGAAAAAAGCAATGTGAGCCCATTTCTGCCTTAATTTTAAGGTAGCGTTTATTTTGGCCTTTTCTTTGACAAAACCAAGGAATAGGAAAAAGCTTTTCTCAAAACTACGGATGAAACTTTAAAAAGAATTGGTACGATGATTTAGTCTTGTTGGAATCGGTAAATTAAAATATGGGAGAAGAGTGGAAAAATCAAGAGTATTAAACATTCTTGATGACATGCCCAGCTATCTTAGAGACAGCAGCAAGAGCTTCTGTACAAGTGGGTTTGATGTAACGCTCTGGCAGCAAGAATCCATATTTGCCTTTATCTCGAAGTTCAATTGTAAACGAGTATTTTATGCCCAAGTCATAGATCCAGTCATCCGAACCTCCAGGAGCTAGGTCTACAAGAAGAAAAAAGAAATTACTTTTTGAAATACAATGTTTCAAGTTAACTAACAAAATGGAATTTTTCCCCCTAAAATTAAAAATAGCTCTGCTTTTTTTCTGATTATTAAGTAATCTAAGTCTCTGGTAGAAAATGGAGACTGAAGAAAAACAGGTTAAGGAAGAAATTACCCATAACCCTGCCAAAGAGTAGTAATCACTATTAACATTTTAGTGTCTTTTTTTCCCCTCAGTGCATGCTTTAACATAATTTTTTCCTACGTAAATAAGATCATCCTATACATGAAGTGTTGTAACATTTCTTCTTTTTTTAAGTTTATTTATTTTTAGAGAGGGAGAGAGTGGGGGAGGAGCAGAGAGAGAATCCCAAGCAGGCTCCACACCATCAGCAGGGGGGAGCCAGACATGGGGCTCCAACTTAAAAACTGCAAAATCATGAACTGAGCTGAAATCAAGAGTCAGACGCTTAGCTGACTGAGCCACCCAGGTGCCCCTGTAACATTTCTAAACATGATCTCTCTGACCATATTTATGTCTTAATGACTTCAAATCTATAATATCATTTTTTCATGATCTCATAGCACTACACTATAAAGCTGGATATAATAATTATTTACTTGGAGACCTTTAGATTTTTTTCTGATTTCTAATTAATATAAACAACTTTACAATGAACTTTCTGGTTTTCACTAATTGCTTCTTTGCTTCTTTGGAATATTCTTTCCTAGAAGCAGATTTACCAGCCTAAGAGTATGTACTTTTTACAATTATGCTTCATGTTGCCAAATAATCTTCAAAAGAATTGAACCAATTTATACCTCCACTAGCAGGGTATGAATATGCCCACTTCCCTTCCCATACCATCCACAGGAATCATGCATTTCTGGCAATTCTATGGGTGAAAAATACCATAAAATCGCCTTGTTTCTTTGATTACCGCTGAATTGGACATTTTATTTGCTATATTTGTTGTCCATCTTTATATATTTTTCTACTCGATTTTTCTAGTGTATATTTTGCTTATTTTTCTACTCGATTCACTTTATAGATTGTTTATAACAGCAATATTAGTGTTATTTGCCTTGTGTAATATGTAAACTTTTTTTTATTTGCTTATTTCGCTTTTGACTTGGTTTATGGCAGAGTATTTATCTTAAAATATTTTATCTGGAATGTAATTTGGAGAAAGACATGTTAGTAATCAATTAACTTCTTTTTCTAAGTAAGTTGTCAGATTCTCCAACCCTATTAATTGAATAACATTCTTAGAAGTGCCTCCTTTATGAGATACTAGACGTCCTTATGTATTTAAGTGTCTTTCTGTTCTTCCTACTCACTTCTGTTGATCTGTTTCTCCCAGGCTCTGTTCCGCAGTCTTAATTACTACAAGTTTATGATGTGCCTTAATACCCGGTTGGGGCAAATTCTCCTATTAGCCTCATTTTTCAGAATTTTACGAGCTCATCTACCAACTTCATTCTTTCAAATGAAGTTCAAAGTCACTTAACTGTTCATTAGGATTGCATTAAATATACAGACTAATTTAGCACAACTGACACATTTTTATATTGTCTTCCCACTCAAAAACATGCTGCATTTCTCCTTTTATTTATTTTCTTTTATGCTTACCAGTAAAATTTGCTAGGCTTTTCACGTAGATATATGGATTTATTTGTGTGTGTAGACACATATATGCATTCAACAATGAATTCACATATATGTATGTATCCGTATGCATATGTGTGTGTGTGTGTGTATACATGTACAGGGGTATTTATTTTCTACCTGATTATTATTATTTTTTTATATAAGAGAGCTTTAGGTTTCTGTATAGTTAGTTCATAGTCAGCCACCTTACTCAACTTTGTGTTCTTGTTTTGTGAGACAGAGTGTGTGTGTGCACTCAGGGGGTTGGTAGAAGGAGAGGGAGAGATAGACTCTTAAGCAGGCTCCACACCCGCGTGGAGCCCCACTCAGGGCTCAATTTTGTGACCGTGACATCATGACCTGAGCCAAAATCAAGAGCAGAACACTTAACCAACGGAGCCACCCCGGTGTCCCAAACATTACTCAACTTTTGATTGTTACTAATATTTTTGGTTGATTTCCACTGTTTTCCAGGTAGACAATCACGTAACGTGTAAAGTGATCATTTTTGCCTCTTTCTATACCTGTACTTGAATTAACTACAAAGGCACTTACCAAAGCATTGTTTATAATACCGAAAAATATCCATCAGCAGTGGACTAAATAAGTTATTCCGAACAAGCACTATCAGTATTTGGCATTTCTTCTCCTAGCCATTTTCTCACGCTTATGCACACAACCACACAGATGTATACTGAACGAACGAACGAATGAACGAATGAATGAAAGAGTATGTAGAGATAGACTGATTTCACCACAACAGAAAGTTACTTTTAAAGCTCTTCGGCCCTGAGGCTCTATGGTTATGCTTTGGGGAACGATGGTAGAGGAGAGAATGGGAATCAAGAAAGCTCTGAATTGTGAAAGGAGGGTGTGGGGTGCCTCCCCGACAGAGCAAGGACCTGGGTCAGCAAAGGTAACGGCGGACCAGTGACATCAAGAGACAGACACACCATGTGGACCAATCTGGCCCCACTTTGTTGTGAGACATTTTAGGGCTGGTTGAGGAGGAAGAGGAAGATTCTGGACTTTCTACTAATAGGACATCCGGGGTAAAGCAATTTATTGAAAATCATATGAATGTGATTATTAAGCTGAATGTATTTTTCTACTCCCGTAGATCATACCTGTTAAAGAAAACTTTGAGGTTTTGAATAGTGCCTCAGGGCTTTTACACAAGCCATTTCCTCTCCTTGGTTTTCCCCTGACACCATTGTCGGGCAGCCACTTGTCAGGTAGGTCTCCCAGAAGTGTCACCTACAGAGAGAGACCTTCCTAGGTCACTTTAGCTAAGTAACCTCTCTCTCCTGCAGTCATCCTCAAACCCTTAAGACTATTTTATATTCTTCACATATCGATGGGGTTATACTCTATTTTACTATTTAGTTGTTCACATCAGAGATTGGCAAACTTAACCTGTAAAGGACCGGATAGCAAATGCTTTAGGGTTTGTGGGCCACAAATTATGTCATAAAACTATTCCATACTACTGTCATGAAAGCTATCATAGACAATACATAAATAAATGCGTGTGTCTGCGTTCAGATAAAACTTTATTTTTGGGGGGCGCCTGGGTGGCTCAGTCGGTTAAGCGTGCGACTTCAGCTCAGGTCATGATCTCACAGTTTGTGGGCTCGAGCCCCGCGTCGAGCTCTGTGTTGACAGCTCAGAGCCTGGAGCCTGCTTTGGATTCTGTCTCATTCTCTCTCTGCCCCTCCCCCACTCACTCTCTGTCTCTCTCTGCCTCTCAAAAATAAATAAGTGCAAAAAAAATTTTTTTAAACTTTATTTTTGGATACTGAAATCTGAATTTCATATAATTTTAACGTGTCACAAAATCTCGCTATTTTGTGTTTTTTTCCCTCAACCATTTAAAAAATGGAAAAACTGTTCTTATCTCACAGGCCTGTGCCTCACAAGCAGTAAGCTGAATTTGACCTGTGGGTCGCAGTTTGTGGACACCTGGTGACATGTTTATTTTCTCTTCCTCTTTCTCCATCTCCCCCTCCAGTTTCAAAAGATAAAAATCATTATCTGTCTTCCCAATGTGGGTAAAAAGGAGTCCCCCAATAAATATCTGCCAGCAGAAATTAAATTTTAAAATATTTCTTAAGAGTTTGCCCTATCTGAGCTATCATCAGTGTGATACAAGCAAAGACATTTAACTATAATGTACTCTAGTGAGCACCGCCTGTCACTATCAAGCATCTAATGTAAACAGTGTTCCTCAGATTTGTGTAGTGTTCAACCTGTGCAACCTTACACGGTGGCCATTGGCATCTTACACGTTCTTTTAACCCTTTATGACCTTTCCTCCTTCACTCACCTACTATGATGACAATTCTATAATCTCTACTCTGTAGCAATGAACACGATTTCTTAAATACCATTTTGTCTTCAGTGTATTCATTTATTAATATAGCCTTGCTCAGTGCTGTCATAGCTATTATGCTTCCATTTCTAATTGTCATAATCCAACTATTTTACGTGTGACCTGGTTTAAAGATTCCATTTAGAAAAATTAAATCCACACAGAAAAAGCAAACACACGGATTTCTTTAGTAGCTCACAGTTCTCCAAGATGTTAAGAAGAAATACTTACATAAACTTTCTGAACCACTGCCATGTGTATATCTGGTATTTCTATTAGTATTCTCTATAGCACGGACTGCTTCACTGGCCACGAGAGACTGAAATCAATAGAATATGAAATTTCAGTTAATGTGCAGCTTTGGAGCAGGACAAGTAGAAGTTTCTTTAAAAAAATCATCATAGGGGCGCCTGGGTGGCGCAGTCGGTTAAGCGTCCGGTCCGTGAGTTGAAGGCTTAGCGTCCCGAACTCTGGGCTGATGGCTGCGGAGCCTGGAGCTGTTTCGATTCACATGTCTCACACCTCTCTCTGCCCTCCCCCGTTCTCTCTCTCTGTCCCAAAAATAAACAAACGTTGAAAAAAAAAAATCATCATATATTAAATGAATCAAACTGTGTAGGTGAAGAAAAAGAAAGTATATTGGTGGTTGCTAAGGGGGTGAGGGTGAATGAATTGGGGGAGTGTTGGTTATATAAATTTCCAGTTAAATTTCCAGCTAAACAATGTGCAAGTGTATCACATCATCACATTGTACACCTTAAACTTACAGGATGTTAAACATCAGTTATATCTGAATAAAGCTAGAGAAAACTGTTGATATGAAAAATCTGCATAGTAAGAATAAATAAAATTTTATGGAAATCACAGTTGGATGGCATTAAACATAGACTCTTCTAGTACATTGAAAATTTGATTTAACTTGAAGAAAAAATAATTCTCACATGCATTTTTTAGGAGTTCATTTCTTATATACAATGAAGTATAACTGTATTCCAAAGGCAAACCGCCTGGGGTTACCCTATTCCTACACAAAATCATCACCAAACTTTAAATGCAACCTGTGTAAATACTACATATACCTAATGCTTACTTCGTTTCCTTCTCGCAAACTCCATTCTCTTCTTGGGTAAAATGCCTAATAACTACTAAAGACTCATCACATAAAAAGGATCATGTGCCCAGTGTGGAGCAGGCTAATAAGTAAGTCCGTTGTTCCACTACATTTGTTTCTAGCTTATCCAGACCTTTTGCGAAGTTCAGGCTAGCATCCGCTGTCACTCTCTTGAATAACCCAGAGGAGTATCAGCGCATATTATGTGGTAGCCCTCCTTTGTTCAAAAAAATTGTAACGGGGGGCGCCTGGGTGGCGCAGTCGGTTGAGCGTCCGACTTCAGCTCAGGTCACGATCTCCCGGTCCGTGAGTTCGAGCCCCGCGTCAGGCTCTGGGCTGATGGCTCGGAGCCTGGAGCCTGTTTCCGATTCTGTGTCTCCCTCTCTCTCTGCCCCTCCCCCGTTCATGCTCTGTCTCTCTCTGTCCCAAAAATAAATAAACATTGAAAAAAAAATTAAAAAAAAAATTGTAACGGACCTCCAGTGTCTACAGAACAAAACACAAATTTATTCTGACATGCCAACAAGCGGACCACATCTACTTTCTGATGGCGTCAGTCTCTACTCTCACACCCACAGGGTCCCCTGAACACACTTTCTGCGGGGACACATCGCCTCCGCTTTGAACGTCCTCCCTTCCCGGTCTGCCTATAGAATTCCTGTCTTTCCATTTCTGGCTGAAAGTGTATCTGTTCTTCGATGGCAATCGCCCTTTATTATTATGTTTTCTTTATAGTATGTCGCCCTTTAAGAGATGAGAAATTCCTCAGGGACAGGGACTTTATCCCCAAGCGTATCTAGCATTTCCTTCTGAATCAGTTAACGAGGCCACCCCCATGCTAGCCCCGTCAGAACTGAGGATCCACCATCTGGGCCAACTTATTCAGTAGTCACTGCACCTCGAATATAGCTACTTGTAACATTTGCTCATGGCTGAGCTCCCTAACCATATCATGTTCTCTTAAAGGGCAGGGTCCTACCGAATGCTTCTTTCATCAGTGTCCGCCAAACACAATATTTTACACCAAATAACTCAACAAAATACGTGTGACAGCAGTAATCCAAAAATAAGGGAAAATCAGACTAGTTCTATTTCCAAATCATGATAAATATCCTTTCGTTTCTTCAAGGATGACACCAATAAAGGAGCTTTCCTTAAAAGTTTTCCTTTGAGAAGAAGAAAGAATTGCAAGCATCAAGCACGTTTATGTTCTAAATGAGCTATTTTCAGGAAGTGCAAATAACATTATATTTGTCATCAGCCACTGCTAGCCCTTAATGTGGCTATAGTTTATTCTTGTAAGAGAACCAGGACATAAAACCAACACCAAAACCAACCAAATAAACACACAAACAAAAACCCCAAAAACAAAACAAAAAAAAAAAAAACACCCCACAAATAATCTAATTAAATAATAGGCAGAGAACCTAAATGGATATTTTTCCAAAGAAGGCATACAAATGGTGAACAGATACATGAAAAGATGCTCAACATCACCGTATATCAGGGAAATGCAAATCAAAACTACCATGAATATCACCTTGCACCTGTCAGAATGGCTATTATAAAAAATACAAGAAATAACAAGTGTTGGCATGGAGGTGGACAAAACGAATTCTCGCACACTGTTTGATAGGAATGTAAATTGGGGTGAACACTGTGGAAAACAATATGGAGGTTCCTCAAAAATTAAAAATAGAAATATCATATGATACAGTAATTCTACTACTGGGTATTTACCCAAAGAAAATGAAAACACTTGCTTGAAAAGATACATGATCCTATGTTTATTGCAGCATTATTTACAATGGCCAAGTTATGGAAGTAACCTAAGTATCCGCTGATAGATGAATGCATAAAGATGTGTGTGTGTGTGTGTGTGTGTGTATGTGCAATGAAATATTACCCAGCTATAAAATGGAATGAGATCTTGCCATTTGCAACAACATGAATGGATCTAGAGGGAATTATGCTGAGTGAAATAAGTTAGAGAAAGACAAATACCATATGATTTTACTTACATGTGAAATCTAAAAAACAAAGCAAATGAACAAACAAAAATATGGAAACAGAGTCATAAATACAGAGAAGAAACTGGTGGTTGCCAGAAGGGAGGGGGTTGGGAGGATGGATGAAATAGGTGAAGGAAATTAACAGGTACAAACTTCCAGTTATAAAATAAATAAGTCATGGGTTAAAAAATACTGCATAGGGAATATAGTCAATAATATTGTAATAATGTTATAGAGTGACAAATGGTAACTACACTTACTGCAGTGAGCATAATGCATAGAACTATGGAATTACTATGTTGTACAATTGAAACTAATATAACATTGTATGTCAACTATACTTCAATAACAAAAACATACAAATTTAAAAACATAAAAAGAGCAAGAGGAAAGAGAACCAGAATAAAATGAGTAAGAAACAGAACACGACATAAAGATCAGAACTTGGGCAAGAATCAGACTGTTGCCATAACCCTTCCATTGTCTGGAAGGCATCTGAGGTGAGAATTCGGCCAATCCCAGCTACAATCCATCAAGAACCCTTGCATCCTTTGCCATCAACCCAAACATAGGACATCTGGGACCAAAAAGGAGTGAGGGGTTAGCAGACAAAATGAGTCTTCTTTGAACTTCTGTATCATTCACTACATTCCAAAAAAAGGTGGGAGGGGGTTCTCGCTTCGGTGTTGAAATTGGAGGTGCTTTTACTAGGACCAAACCCCTGGGGGTTAAAGAGGGCAGTGTGCACACAATTCCCAACGTTGACATCAAATTAAATGAGTGTGGTACCAGGACTTGATCTATCTGTTGTTGAAAGCGAGGTACCACAAAGCAGACCCACAATTCCAGAGATTCTCGTCCTTGCTGTTAGGGCTTTATATGTAGATCAGTTCCACGGGGAATGGTTCCCCCTGACCTTCAAGCAGTATGTCAGTTATTTTCTTAGATACCCATTTGCTGGACTGAAGTTCTTGTCCACAGAATAGGACCCATTCTTTATATTCCCTCAGTGAACCCTGACCCAGGGTGACTCTCAGCAGAACGAGATCAAAACAGAAAGCATCTTTCCATCTGTCCTCCAGAGGAGAAAATTTTTCCCACAGTTTTTGATTCTTGAACTTGGTATTATTTTATTTCTGAAATGCCAATGAAAAAAAAGATAATTGAGTAGCACTTACCAGCTCCTCGTGGTCTTTGGTTTTGCTTCTATTATAGGAATATGGAAACACTATCTTCTGGGAGTATGAATGCATACTGATGTAAGCCTTAATGTGGTTGATGTTTTTTCTCAAGAAATTGGCCATTGCCTTCACTTCTGGCTCTGACTCAGGGTAAGGGCCACAGTAGGTTTCCGAGCAAGAGAAACTTGATGCACCTTCCTCTGAAGTGAAATGGATAGAGTGGGATTAGCAAACGCCATTGTAATTTGTGACTTCCCTGACAATGCATCCTCCTAATACCCATGGTGTAAAACTTTTAGAGAAATGGATTAGACAGAGCTCTGTAAAGAACATATTTATGTTTCTATTGAAGCAGATGTTTCTATGCCCTCAGAACAAACACCCCAACAATCGCTGCCTGGGGACAGCCATCTTGCACCCTTTGTGAAAGTGGCTAAGGACGTCTCAGAGACGTCAGCCCTGCCTCCAAACTTGTGGTTCTGTGAGATAGAGAAACCCCATTTTTTTTAGAAACCCCATTTTCTTTAATCCAGCGTGAGCTTGGTTTTTCTGATATTTGTAGCTTAAAAATTACTAATCAATGTGGTCCATAAAAGGAGTCTCATTTGGGAACTCAGACTATACAAGTCTGTCTTCCATGCTACTTGCTAAGGAGGTTTGGCAAATAAAAGAAGATGGAATGTTCGGGGCCAGAGTAATGTTTATTCATCCTTTTGAGAAATTATAGTATACATCACTTTGGATGGTAGCCTGCCTCCTACCCCTTCACCTTTCTTCTTTAATTCACAGGGGTGGAGCCTCAGGGAGCCACCTCTGACCCCAAACATTATTCCTGCCTGGAAACAGTTGACTAATCTTGAACTAGGTCCCTAACTTGTGTTCTGTCACTCTGAATCCCTCTGCTGATAACTTGGTATTGAGAGGAAGATCCTAGCGTCAGTCCAGCTGCACTCTAGAACAAAGAAAACACCAGCTGACCTGAAACTCTAAGATTTACACACAGTATCTCATTCACTCCTCTTGGCAACCCTATGAATGAAATACTGCTGGTTCAGGAGATGCAAAGTGAACATTCTTGGCAGTAAGGACCTTTTACGATAAGAGGCTAAATGGCATATTGTTAATCACCCAACCGCTTGATCCTAAGCTTGGTGTTGCCATTTAATAGCTATATGGCCTTCGGTGAAATGTTTTAAACCTGTCTAAACCTTGATTTTCCTATCTGCTAAATGGAAAAGTTATACATTTAACGTGGATTTCATGAGGATTCAGTACAATGTATATGAGGTGCTTTGCATGATGCCTTGTAAATACTAAGATTCAGTAATCATTGCTTTTCCTCCTCATGGTCTTTGTCTCGCGTCGTCGTCGTGGTCACCATCATCACCATCATCATCATGTGGATTGGAATAAAACAAAAACCGATTGTGCTTTGCAGGGATGAATGGAGAGAGAAAGGACTCACAGAGCTCACTGCAGTCCCCCAGGCCCAGTTCCAAGCTGTTTCTGAAGCTCGTTGCCCTTGTCCTGGGGTTCCATGGTCTACTCCATTATCCTTACAGGTCCTGCCTGCCTCAAGTTTGCTCTGATTTCTGCCTTTTATTTGCAAGAGAGACAACCTTAATGTTTGTGAAACATTCTTTTCGGCACAAGAAAATATGTGCTAAACATCCAAGACCTTTCCAAGTATTTCATTTGTATTAGTGGGGTTTTTTTTTTTTGTTGTTTTTTGGTTTTTTTGAGAGAGAGAGAGAGAGAGAGAGAGAGAGAGAGAGAGAGAGAACTCTAAGCAGTCTCCACTCTCAGCGTGGAGTCCAATACAGGAGTCAGTCCCACAACCCTGGGATCATGACCTGAGCTGAAATCAAGAGTCAGACACTCAACCGACCGAGCCACCCAGGTTCCCCCATTTGTATTTTTAACCAATAATGTGATCAGACCAACCATTCTGATAGTTTCATATCCTTTGATTACTCCTGCCCTTTTCCCCCTGATATATAGTTTTAGAGAGTAGAGATTCTACGTTAGGAGTAGGGGGACATCAAAGAGACGAAGGAACAGGTGGTCCCCTAACATGAATCCTCAGACCAGAGCCGTTCCGTAGAAACATACGGCAAGTTACATATTTAGGTTTTCAAGTAACTGTGTATTTCAAAAGCAACAACCTATTTTAGTAATACAACTGATTTCACCCAATAGGTACCAAGTACAATCCTTTCAAACACAGTCAATACAAAAATTGTTCACGGCATACTTTAGGCTCCTTTTTTCACACCAAGTCTTTGAAATCTGGTGTGTATTTTATACTCACTGCACATCTCAATTCAGACAAGCCACATTTCAAGTGTTCAAGGGCCACATGCAGCTAGTGACTACTGCAGTGGACAGAGCAGCCTCAGACTCTCATTCTGTGACTGTCATTCTAGAGGTTTCAAGTATTTCGGTAGAAAGATTCATGGAGAGTCAGGACCCTGGAGTCCGGGACTGCTTTGCTCCTAAACAGACATGTCGATCTGGGCAAGCTATTGCATCTGGCTCAGCTGAAGGTGCTTCATCTGTAGTGCTTGGTCTCCCAGATCCCTTCGAGCTTAAGTATTATCTCTTCTATGAACCCTGGAATAAAAAGATATCTAGTACAGGAAAGTTCATAGAACAGAGAGTAGAGCAGACATTACAGGGACTGCAGTGAGTAGGAAACAAGAAGACATTGCTGAATGGTCACAGAGCTTCTGTTTGGGCTGAAGAAAACTTTTGGAAATGGATACTGGTGATGGTTTCACCGACTGGATATACTTAATGCTTCAATGTGCTGAACGGTTAAAATGACAAATTTCACGTTACATGTATTTTAGCGCCATAAAAGCGATGAAAAAAACACTGCGGTCTCATGGGAAAGAAAGAAAGGATTTTCCACTGTACAATAGCTACCAAAACTTTGCAGTTTAACTTAACATCTTAGAAAATGAGGGGATCTATCTTAGGAAGTTTGAGACCAGAGGTCCTCACAAAATGCTACCTGTTATGGACTGAATTCTGTCTCCCCAAAATTCACGTATGGAAGCCCTAACCCACAATGTACTATGTTTGGAAAGAGGGCCTTTAAGAAGGTAATTAAAGTTGAAGGAAGTCATGAAGGTGGGGCCCTGATCTAATGTGGCTGGTGTCCTTTTAAGGAAATAGAGAGACACCAGAGATGTGCACAAAGAGAAAATGTCAAGTGAGGACACAGTGAGAAGGTGGCCATCTGCAAGCCAAGGAGAGAGACCTCAGGGCAAACCCACCCTGCTGACACCTTGATCTTGGACTTCCAGCCTTCAGATCTGCAAGAAATAAACTTATCTTGTTGGAGCCATCAGCCTGCAGTATTTTGTTAGCGGCAGCCTGATCGGTCTAAGACAACTCACCTCCATTCCCACCTCCAACACACACACACACACACACACACACACACACACACACACACACACACAATTTTAATACAGAGGAAGGGGGGAAGTGAACATGAAACAAATAAACAGGCTTGATATGTCATTTCTCATTAAAGAGTAAGGTGCTCTTTGAGATTCTTAAAAAAAAAAGTATCATAAAGGCGTGTTCTAGTTGCAGGGACAAGGAAGTGAGAAGATTTAGTTCTTTCTCACTGGCTTGCTTACATACTACTATAGAGATACTGGGGTGGTGGGGGCCACCTGGGTGGCTCAGTCAGTTGAGCGTCCGACTTCAGCTCAGGTCATGATCTCGTGGCTTGTGGGTTCGAGCCCTGCGTTGGGCTCTGTGCTGACAGCTCAGAGCCTGGAGCCTGTTTCGGATTCTGTGTCTCCCTCTCTCTCTGCCCCTCCCCCATTGGCACATACGCACTCACTCTCTCTCAAAAATAAATAAACTAAAAAAATTTTTTTAAAAGAGATACTAGAGCACCAGAGGAAAAAAAAAGAGTCCTTATAATTACTTTTTGTTTTATTTGCTTGTTGTTTCTGTTTCTTACTCTTGTGATGTGTAATAATAAAGTGCCACGCCTCAGAGCGGCCTCTGGTACTTCTTGATGGCAGTAACAATATATTTGACGTCTTGGCTATTCAAATTTTTTATGGCTTCACTGTAAAAAAATATTAAGTGAAACAGAGCACCAAAAGAACTTCCAGATAAAAGAAGAAGTTCCAGAAGGCAACCTATAACAGAAGAGTGATTCTCAGACATAGAAGAATCGTGATAACTTTGGAATCAGTCAGCCTGGCTTCATAAGCCAGGTCTGTCACTTCCTAGGTCTGTGATCTTGAGCAAGGGATTCAACCTCCTGAGTCTGGGATTCTCCATCCAGGATACACAGATAATGAAACCTAGGGGGAGACATATATAAACGGCTCTGCACTTAGTAACTAACAGCTCTATCCAATCTATTGTATATTCGCTGCTGCTTCTCTGACCCCCTGCCCAATTATCACTGCTGTGGCAGAGTCTTTGGGCCCCAGTGGGTACTTTTATGGGACAATCTTAAGAACGGCTCTCACAGAGAAACCACTGAGTGGTTCCCTTAATCACAAAAGGAGTGAGTCTGAGGGGAGATTAACTGTTCCTTCCTCTGCTTGCTTACTACATCTGTAACTCTCTTACAACAACTAAGTCATTCCTATATTCATTTAATTAATTTCTGCGACTCCTGCATGTGCCAGGCACTGCACTGGGTGGTCCCTTCCCTCACTGAGTCTCTAGCCTAGAGAAGGAAGGAAATACGGAAATAAGGGGGTACTCTGCGGTGAGGTTTTCACATGCACTCAGAGAGAATGATGAAACATTCAAAATCACACATTTTCTCTTCTGTTTTGAAAAGAAATATGTACAATCACGTACACAGCACTGTGTAGGACAAAGGGGTGATTAGACGCAAGGTTATCATCAGGTTTAGTTCTGTAGCTGTTTCTTTTTTTTTTTTTTAATTTTTTTTTAACGTTTGTTTATTTTTGAGACAGAGAGAGACAGAGCATGAACGGGGGAGGGTCAGAGAGAGGGAGACACAGAATCCTAAACAGGCTCCAGGCTCTGAGCAGTCAGCACAGAGCCCGACGCGGGGCTCGAACTCACGGACCGCGAGATCGTGACCTGAGCCGAAGTCAGATGCTTAACCGACTGAGCCACCCAGGCGCCCCTGTAGCTGTTTCTTAAATGTAGTAACTATGAAATACAATGGGGGTGTGAACCAACACCTACCTCCCTGAGAACAATGTTCTGTTTTGTCTTGTTTTGTTTTGTTTTTTGTTTTTTTTGAGAGAAAGACAGAGATTGAACAGAGCAGGGGAGAGAGGTGGGGTGGGGGAGAGAGAGACAGAGACAGTCCCAAGCAGGCTCCACGTCTGACACAGGGCTCTATCCCACACCCTTGGGATCATGACCTGAGCAGAAATCAAGAGTCAGATGCTGAACTGACTGAGCCACCGAGGTGCCCCCAGATAATGTTCCTGAATGCCTAAATCAATATCCACTGAGTACTTTGACTCATTCAAATCAATAAATGATAGGCTCTCACTATGCCAGACATAAGTTCATGGTATTCATAAAAATATTAAATAGTGAAAACAAAAGAAAATGTTTTTCAATGCTGTGGAAGTAAGCCCTTTCCTATGCAATTAAAATGGAGAGCTACTCACCCTACCCTGGTCTTTGATACTCTAATGATGAATGTTATTTTTTCTTTAAAGTAGGATTTTTAACAGTCGCTTCATTATCATTCTAGAAAAGTAGAATATTAGCATTTTGAAGCTAAAAGGGACCTTAAGGAACCGGCCTAAGTTCCTTTTTCTTTTAATGTTTATTTTTTTTATTTTGGGGAGAGAGCGAGAGTGTGAGTGAGTGAGCACAAGTGGGGGAGGGACAGAGAAAGGGAGACACAGAATCTGAAGCAGGCTCCAGGCTCTGAGCTGTCAGCACAGAGCCCAGTGTGGGGCTTGAACTCATGAACCCTGAGATCATGACCTGAGCCAAAGTCAACCGACTGACCTACCCAGATGCCCACCAAATTCCTTTTTTTAAAGACAAAATGGAAGGGTGGAGGGGTTAAGGTGAATTGTGCATATTTACAGCACTGCATTTAACTAAATAGCCTATTTGAATTATTTCCTGATTTAGATAGGCCTCCCCTGTAATTACTCTGAATTAATAGGCCTTTCTCTGTGAATGTCCCCTTTCAAATGAATGAACATTGCTAGAAATAAAGCAAACGACCTACCACACCAGTGTTTGGAAGCAAAGTTCCTGTTCAGGTCTGTTCCGATGCAACGATTATTTTCATGAAAAGACCGGTTCTTTCTCCACATTCGATTCTAAACAAACAAAATACTGATAACCAGGATGGCCATGTTTGCAGTTCAAGCAAAGACACAACTTCTAAAGCCTAAGTGACCAGAGTTGTGTGTCTGTCCTGCAAACCCATCACTCTGCTCTGCCACTGTCCTCACAGCATTCCTTTCGCACAGCCCTCTCTCTATCCAGGTCTCGACCATGTTCTCTCAAAGCTATTTCAGTGTGAACCAGATGAAATGGGGATATTTAATCAATTTTGACTCATACCAACAGAAATTTCATTTGGCTTTGCAAGGCTGGTTATTGGTTCTCTTTAAATCTTGTTTGCTTCCATTTTAATTTCTTCTGAGAAAAGGAAAATAACTTTGTGTTTCAATGAGAATGAAAATGATGACTTATGAGTCTCAATGCTCTCTTTATTTTTTTCATATTTATACTTAATTTTTATATTTATATATTTTTTTAAAATAAAGTTTATTTATGTTGAGAGAGAGACTCTGTGTGTGTGTGTGTGTGTGTGTGTGTGTGTGTGTGTGAGAGAGAGAGAGAGAGAGAGAGAGAGAGGGCAGGGGCAGAGAGAGAGGGAGACAGAGAATCCCAAGCAGGCTCTGCACTGTCAGTGAGGAGCCCGATGTGGGGCTCAATCGCACAAACCGTAAGATCATGACCTGAGCCCACATCAAGAGTAGGATGCCCAACCGACTGAGCTACCCAGGCACCCCTCAATGCTCTCTTTAGATTGAATTAAACTCTCTCATTTAAAAGTGTCAGGAGGTGGAGATGTGAAGACACTTCTAGCCCGATGGTTCCTTTGATTGTACCGATTCGATCCTGGTGTGTGAACACAAAGCGAATTGCCCCATTGGGTTCTTGGGGACAAACTGAGAAATTTGATCATGTACACAGTTGCACAGACTTTGTTTAAACCTGTAGTTGAGATGACGTGGCAAATTTACCCCGGTGTCATCAACCGGGTCCGCTTCCGGCGGGGGGCTTATGGTTTAGTAGCAAGAATTACCCTGGAGAAATTAGGTTCTCACACTGCAGGGACTAACTGACAGTTTTAAGACACAAAGACAGTGGGAGGGTAGGAATAGCTAAGGATGGCCTAATTCTACTGTGATTCAAGTAAAGGAACAAGTCTATCATAACATCAATCTATGACTGTGATCGTTTATTGGACACAAATTTGTTAGGTACTGTTCTAGGGATTTCTCATTTACTTAGCTCAGGATTTGCCCAGTCCTCCCTACAAGCTTTTATTCAGTGTTCCTTTCACTTGCGATAACTTTTTCAATCAATCTCCTTCACCATTTCCAGCCATTTCTTCTGCAAAAATTACTTCTTCCTCTTCCACGAAACAATTTTTGTCCAACCCTGTATGTTTCCAATCACTCTGATTATTCTCATTCCCCTTAGTGTTTACATGTGCGGCTCAGGAGGCTTTTCTGAGCTTACATATGCTCAAATATGCTTTGATGTGCTCCTCATTAAATTAGAAAGGACTGCACTTCCATTGCTTGAGTAATTTTCCTGAATCATGATGTTGATGGGCTAGAAATACCATTGATAATGGTTTCCAGTATAGATGAGATTGACTAGGAAACTCACGCATATTAGATGTTCACGATTGAATTAAAGGGTCCTAAGGTTTAAATTCATGTATCCGTTAGAATGTAATTCTGTCAGAATGTAAGTGCAGTTAAAATGCTTCTCTCAATCTTGCAATTTATGATTTTATGAATCGAAATGCTATTCAAATGATTCCTAGATCTAGGCATTGTGCATTGTTGTAGCTAATGTCACAAAAGGAGATACAACCAGACATTATACAGAACACAGAATCACTATGAAACAGTCCTGCCAAAAAAGTCAAATCTGAATCTGGTTTATCCCCTACTATCCAAATTTCAAATTTTAGAAAATGCAAAGGACAGAGGAGTGTTAAATTGCAACATGGCCATGCAATTAGCAAATCCAGACAATGTGAAACCTTGTCTTCAATGAATAAATTGCAAGGAAAAATTTGAGAGAGAGAGAGAGAGAGAGAGAGAGAGAGAGATGGAGGGAGAATCTATGGATTAAAATAGAATTAAAATACACATAAACCAATCACAATATATTGGCCTTAACTGGATTCTGAATCAAAGAAAATTTTTCTAAAAAAGTTATGAAACAATTGCAAATTTAAATTTGATTGGACATTTTCTGATATTAAGTATTGTTAATTTTTAGGTACAATTGTACTGTGCTTATTTTAAGACCTATTTTAGAGATGCATCCTGAAATATTTTTGCTGAAATGATATGGTATCTGAGATTTGTTTCAAAATAATATGAATAAGGTAGACTTGGGTTGGGGATATAGACAAGAAAATATTGGCCATGAGCTGATTATTGACGAAGTTGTGTGGTAGGTACAGAGGAATTTACTATACAATTATTCCCACTCATATGTTTGAAGTTGTCCATAATAAGAATTTAAAGATATTTATATCTTAAATAAAACCATTGTGCCAAGATCCAGGATTCTATGAATAATTCGATCGGTGCATCCTTTATCCCCAACTAGGGCGTGTTTTGTTTTCTTTGCCTTTACCTACCTTTTTCCATGTGAAGTCATAACCATCCACATTAACTACCGGCATCACATAGAAATCCATTTGTGTCAGAAGACTGGTGTACAGGGTTTCTTTCCCATAGAATTGAGTTACCTACAAATTAAACCAAGCATGTTTAATAATATCTCTCTTAAGTCCTTCTAAACTTAGTCTGTTTCCTTTATGCATTATATATTTTTTAAAACATCATTTCGTATGTTTGGATTTGCATCTTTAACTTTCAGGAAGAATATTAATTCCTTGACAAGTCTGAACTCAGGGCACTAGACTGCCCAATGGTGGCGAATGCCTTGGATAGGGGACAAATGGTCCTCTTATTTATTGGAGGCAGAAAATAGCACCGTATATTTTCTAAAATTTTCTTCTTCAAGAAACATAGAATTCTACCTTAGATGTAATTCCATTCCTTTTTCAATAATCCATATATCAATCAGAGTTTAAACTAACTTTGTCTTATGCCCAGATATGACTACATAGTTTCTACTTTGTCCTTATAACTTGGGGAGTCAAAATGTTCATTTTAATTCTTTCAACAAATCTATGAAACACGCATTCAAACCCTCACTTACCCATTCTGTTTGGAGTCCTGCTTATTGGACAAAAAGCTCCAGAGCTAATATGGATCATCTGTCAGAACCTAATACTCCCCCTTTGACAATCACTAATCAACTTCCTATCTCTGTAGATTTACCCATTCTAGGTATTTCATATAAATGGAATCATCGAATGCATGGCCTTTGTGTCTGGCTTCTGTCACTTAGCATAATGCTTGCAAGATTTGTCCATTTTGTAGCATGAGTCAGTATTTCATTCCTCTTCACTGCTGAATGATGTTCCATTATAAGGATATTCCACATTATTTTATCTACTCAGAGGTCGATGGGCACACTTTTTGACTATTATGAATAAGGATGCATGAACATCTGTAAACAAACGTGTCTGCTTCTCTTGGGTGTGTACCTACAAGTGGAATTGCTAGGTCACATGCTAATTCAATGCCTAACCTTTCAAGGAACTGCCAAACTGTAAAATAGTGGCTGCACTGTTTTACGATCCCAACAGCAATGAATGAGGGTTCTAATTTTTCCACAGCCTTACCAACACTTGTGATTATCCTTTTTGAACTTTAGCCATCCTGGTGGGTCGGAAGTGATATGTCCTTGTGGTTGTAATTTGCATTTCTCTAATGACTGATGATGTTGAATACCTTCTCATATGCTTACTGGCCATTTGTATATGGCGAGTTATCTTTTCAGATATTTTGCCCAATTTTAAATTGGACTATATGTCATTTTATTGTTTATTTGTAAACATTCTTTATATATTTTGGATACAAGTCCCTTATCATATATGTGATTTGCAAAAATTTGCCTCAGTTATATGGGTTGTCTTTTCACTTTCCTGATGACATTCTTTGAAAAGCACAAAGGTTTTTGATTTTGGTACAGCCCTATTTCTCTCTTTTGTCCTTTGTTGTTTATGCTTTTGGTGTCATATCTAATGAACAATCGCCTAAAGGCACGAAGATTGACTACTTCTATGTTTTCTTCTAAGAATTTCGTAATTTTGCCTTTTAAATTTAGGTCTCTGACCCGTTTTGAGTTAATATTTGCACTTGGTGTGAGGTAGGGGTCCAAGTTCATTCTTTTGCATGTGGATAGCTACTCGTTTCAGCAAAGGAGGCCTTTTTTGACCTTTCACAAAGGTGCTGTCTGGACTAGTGGTAGGCTTGCTTGGGTGCATTTAAAGAAGATGAGGGTGCAGAATAAAATGGGAATTGGTGATCTGAAGAGTAGCAGCAGGACGAAACCAGGACCTCGGGGGAGAGGTGTAGAAAAAGGAAAGACGGAGGGAAACTGGGCATTAAGGGGACTTCTCAATGCCTACCCATAAAAGGAGAAGTGAACCCTAACGGGAGGGTGACCTGAATGGATCGGCTAGGTAAGGTTAGAGCACCCTCAGGACTTTGGATATTTTCCCGATTGGCTAAAGGGTGAGACTGGGTTGTACCTGGTATTGGGCAAACCTGTGTTCTTTTCTAGGCATTGTGTGAATTAAGGGCAGAGTTCCATAGATACAGAGAAATCTAAGAAATATTCTCACTTAACCTTGTAAATGATGTTATACTCATTAAGATATTTTCACATTTGACATCTACCCAGTTATTTATATGTCAAAAGCATACAATCTAGGCATATAATCATATCATTGAAGTAATTTAACCTCTAGATTTCTTTTTTTTTTTTTAATTTTTTTTTTCAACGTTTATTTATTTTTGGGACAGAGAGAGACAGAGCATGAACGGGCGAGGGGCAGAGAGAGAGGGAGACACAGAATCGGAAACAGGCTCCAGGCTCTGAGCCATCAGCCCAGAGTCCGACGCGGGGCTCGAACTCACAGACCGCGAGATCATGACCTGGCTGAAGTCGGACGCTTAACCGACTGCGCCACCCAGGCGCCCCTAAACTCTAGATTTCCATAAGCCTTGTAACATGACTTAATAGATCAACTGTGTTTAAAGACATGATATTTTAAAATAACACTTCAACCAAGTGTAACGTATTTATTAATCTAATAATTTATTATCAATTTGTGATTTGTGTATCCTGGGGCTCTCCAGTGAGTTTTCATGGTATTTTATAAAGATATGTACAGTCATGGTTTTATATTTAGCGAATGAATCACTCTTAATGAGGTAGGTGGCTGAAGACAAAACACACACAAAAGACAACAAATAAATATTTATCAAAGGAATGATTTACCAACAAGACAAGTAACAAAGTTGAACTCGCTGTCCTAGTATAAAAACAAGACAAGAAGACAGAGGGTACCAGAGGACAGCACAAGAATGAGAGATTAGGGGTGGGAAATAAAGGCCTGACTGATTCCTATTAGCTTGACCTCTGGCAGATAATTACTCACTTCTTTTCCTGAGGCACACCAAAGCTTTGTCCTTATTATGGTCCCCAACAACAACAACACCTGCCAAAAAATTCACCAATAGCCACTTGACAGAATAAATTAGTCCAAAAAGGCATATAAGACACTATGAATGGAAGATTTTCTTAATTTTTTTTTTTTTATTTTAGAGAGAGAGAGCAAGAGCCGGGGGAGAGGGGCAGAGGGAGAGAGAGAGAATCCCAAGCAGGCTGCACGCTCAGCAATGGAGCCTGATGTGGGTCTCATTCCCATGACCCTGGGATCACAACCCAAGTGGAAATCAAGAGTTGGACACTTAACCGACTGAGCCACCCGGGAGCCCCTATGAACGGAAGATTTAAAAATAAACTGTTACTCCTGCTACCGGTAGAAATACAGCAAAGAGCTTAAGTCCCAGTTTTTCTGCAACGGCAACAAAGTATTTAGCACAATGGTAGGTACTGTCTGAACCCAAGAATTGTATTTCAGCCTAAAGCTGAAGCATCAATTTAAATTTTAAATGTTATAAGAGATGTTGAGTGCTGATCCTGTGGACCAAACAATATAATGAGTTATACTGTAACAACAACAAAAACTGACTTTACAGATTATCTTTGTCCTTAACAAGCTGATAAAACTGTTAGGTTGGAAAGGAAACAGAAAGCATTCAATGCTATAAGTACGGTAATAATTTCAGGATGTACAAGGTGGTTCAGAAGAAGGAGAGTTAATTTTTCAGGTGTTTGGTGTTAGAATTCCTGAAGAGCAGACTGAGGGGACAAGACATTCAGGATACGGGTGAATGGGTGGTGAGCAGATGTGAGGAATGACAGAAACAGAAGGACTGGAAATTAAGAAGTCAGATTGTTAAGTGGCTCCTCCTATCCTTCCTGGCCACTGTCCTCAGCCATATTTTGGATCTAAAGGTCAGGGAGAGAATTAGTTTTGAGGTCCGAGGAAAGCCATGGGAGAAGTTTACTGAAACAGAGCTGAGATTAGGTTTAGTGATGTCGAGTTCAAGTTTCTGAGATTATTCCCTAGCTAGATCTCGCACATGGACTTTAATTTTTTTTTTTAATGTTTATTTTATTTTTGAGACAGAGAGAGACAGAGCATGAACGGGGGAGGGGCAGAGAGAGAGGGAGACACAGAATCGGAAACAGGCTCCAGGCTCTGAGCCATCAGCCCAGAGCCCGACGCGGGGCTCGAACTCACGGACCGCGAGATCGTCGCACATGGACTTTAAATTCACTCAGAGCGACAGCAAGAATTGGAGAGGAATAAAGAATCGCGAGCCAGGTTCCAGGGAGTTATCTGGAGGCCATTAGATGACAGTAAAAAGAAAACTCAAGAGTGGTTCAATCAGATCAGATCGCGAATTTGGGGGAAAAGGCAGTAACTGCAGATGATTTCCCCGCTGTCTGAAAGCAGAGGGCGACTCTGAAATCTTTCCATAAGCCACAATGGGATAAAGTGAAGAGTATCCCCTACTTTCCCAACACTTTTACATCAGCACCTGTTTTTGCTTACTGCAAGGAGAGTTTTTGCTTTTATGAAAAAAGCCATCACCATCCTAATGCAGGTCTTTCGTAAAAGTGAATGGCATAATGCGAACTTTAGGAAAGCAGGGGACACCTGTAGCAGGACAGGAGAATGTCGATCCACTCCTCTGGTCCCTTGGCACATGGAGATACGAAAGAAAGAGCAGGCTGTCTCCTTGATGCAGCTTCTATGAAGCAGTGCCCTTCACAAGTCACGTGTCAGCTAAGGTAAGGGGCAGCAGAAGGAAATCTGCGGAGGCCATAAGGTTGCAGGGTGCCCACTTTGTGTGCAGCTATGTGAGCATTCTCCTGGGCAGAGGTTCACAGGGAGGCTAGCACTGAGAAAAGCCAGCTGGCAGACAAAATGCTAAGCAAGGCACGATGCCCCATACATGTTCCTTGGGCTCCTATGATGGGCCAGGCCGGTGCTTGTCATGCCCAAGCTAGCCTTGGCCCTGCCTTTGCAGAAGTGGAAGGGATCTAAAATTGGTCTCTAGAGGATGAATGAGAGGCATAGAAAGAAATGACTGGCCTCAGGCTCCCCAAAGTGTAGAGTAATGGGTTTCTCCTAAGCTGAGACTGCACCACACTGAGTTAGAGAAAAGAGTAAGAGAGTACGATATATGTGTGTGTGTGTGTGTGTGTGTGTGTGTGTGTGTGTGTGTGTATTGGTCTCTGCCCCACACCCACTCTGGTTCCTGGCACAGACCTTGTAATGCCCTGAATGATAAGAGCAATGAAGGCATCTTTTGTTCTAGTATTTGGTCCTTGACCTCAGTTCCTGACACAGAGCTTTGAAATCCCTTGAAATTTCCTGGGTGGTAGCAGCGTCTTTTGTTCTCACGAGGTGATTCTTGGAGGGCTCCCGGCCAGGAGCCTCATCAACAGAAAGACCAAGCCATGATTAGGAACTTGGAGGTTCCAGCCCCAACCATATCCTCCAGGAAGGGGAGTGGGATTAGAAATTGAGTTAATGATCTCTCATGCCTACAAGGTGAAGCCTCTATAAAAACCCCAAAGATAAGGGGTTCCGGGAGCTTCGGGGCTGGTGAACACGTGGAAAGTGCTAGGAGAGGGGTTCATCTGGAGAGGGCTGGGAAGCTCCATGCCCCTTCCCACAGACCTTATCCTATGCATCTCTTCTACATAGGTGTTCATCCGTATCTTTTATGACATCCTTTTATGATACACTGGCAAACAAGAAGTAACCTGTTCCTCTGAGTTCCCTCAGCTACTCTGGCCAAATGAAGCAAACCCAAGGAGGAGGTGGTGGGAACCTTTGACTTAGAGCTGATCGGTCAGAAGCGCGGATAACAGCCTGGAGTTTCAACTGGCATCTGAAGGGTGACGGGGGTGGGGGGGGGGCACAGCTGAGCCCTTACCCTGTGGGATCTGACTCAGGCTCCAGGCAGACAGTGTCAGAAGTGAGTTACGTTGTCAGACACCCAGCTGGTGTCACAGAATTGCTTGGGATGGAGAAAGTCCCCATGCATCTGGTGTCAGAAGTGTGCATGTGGAAGTCGTACAAGAAGAAAGGAGAAACGCAGGAACGGTGTAGGTTTCCTTTATAGCGACTTAAAAGCTAAGACTTCCCTTTGTCTTTGAGTTCTTTACTTTTTAAGTATAAAATCTGCCCCCGCAAAAATCTGAAAGCTAAGGATTTCATTTTTCCTTCTACAGTTGTTCGAATCATTATGAAGGGCAGATGATCTAGATTAGTTTTAGGCAGGCAAGGATGCAGCTCCTTAAATGTCCATTAACAAGAGTTTATTGAACTGTGTTGCCTTGGGCTACAAAAATCAGCCTCATGTTTGTCGGGACAAAATACTTGACTGTAAGGTTTTGGAGCCGTATCTTATTTCCCATGGTATCTCCAGAGTCTGGAACCTCATAGGCAGTTTATAAATATTTGCAGAGTAAATACTTTAATCTTACAAAGATTCAGCAATTGGGGGTGGGTGGAGGAGAGCATATGTAATAGGAGACAAGAGATGTCAATCGGGGAGGGATGACAAGTAGGGACAACTTCACCAACATGAATTAGCCTTTCTTTCTGGTCCTTTCCAGGTTCAGTGATAGAAGGAAAAGAAGCGTGCTTTCCTGCTTGCTTTGCACGTTTCTTCCTCCACTAACTGCTGCTTCATTCATTACCCAAAAGGAATAAACCACCCAAGTTGAGGAAGGATCACTAAATGACTGAGCTGTGTTAACGATCTAGTCCATTGAGAACTATCTTCATTTGGTCAGGGCGGTACCAGTGGTGGCTGGGAACTTTCCAGAAGGCTCAGGGAGGCTGCAGCTCCCATCAGAGGGTAAGAGCAGATGGTGAGGCAAAGGAAGAGAGGTAGAGGTGTTGTATCTGACGAGACCCAGTGGAGGCAGAAATATTTTCACTTTTGATGTACGTCATGGGTTAAGACAGATCAATGCAAGTGACTATCTTTTGATTTTTTTTTAAACAAATCTATTTTGTGTGGCTGTATCCCTGTGAATACAGAGACAATCACCATTAGCAGAAGGACACATATTTTAGGTTAGTTTTCCAGTGGTAACAGCTCTTTGTATAAATCAATATAGAGAACATTTATGCCCATTTTATGGGAGCTGAAGCATAATTTTTACTGTATTCATTTATTATACAGCTTTATAGCCATTATAATTTTTGGTTTTATACCATACTCTTTGCCTTATATATGGATTTTTTGCTGCCAAGGCCTCCTTCAGGGACAAAATCTCCCATTATAACATATGAGAAAATAGGATCTGCTCTGTAATGTTGTACTTCATGTTCAATTTCCAAGGGCAGAATACGGCAAAGATGTCTGGATTATTTAAATCAGAAGAGTAAGAAATTAATTGGGACTCAATTTAGGTAATTGCTTTAGTTCTTTCTTCTACTTGGTAAACATACTACGATTGCAAAATATTTCTTAATTATTTTCCAGTGTTTAGCCCTAGCCAGAAATACAGGAAGAAAAAGGTAGACAATCTTTAGGGTGATTTAAATGCTTGAAGTTACAGTTCCCAAACTTAAAAATATGCACAAAAGTCACCTGGGTAGCTTGTGGAATTTGTAGATTACCAAACCTCACCACCAGAGAGTTGAAGGCAAGAATTCTAGGATGTGACCTGGGAAAATGCATTTCATAAACAGCCCGGCGGATTCTGACACAGGTCGTCTTGGGCCACGAATCGAGAAACCCTAGTGTAAGAGAATGTGAATACTTACATAGCCTATGAACCACAAGCAGAAAGCAGGAGAGATCCATTCTCTGGCATGGATTCCACAGTCAATCCATATGGCATTTTTGGCTCTTTGTTCTTTTCTAGAAACCTGCCCAAGGAAAACCAACAACAATAGCAAGAAACTTCAGGAAAATAACTTCCATCTATGTAGTGCTCGCGTTTAATTCTTTCAACAAATCTATGAAACACACATTGTCCTCTGCATTCCTTTGAGGATTTTCAAGGGACATTAAAAGCTGGTGTAACTAAAAGATACTAGTTAAGGTCACGTAGCTGGTGAGAGGCAGGACTGAGGTTTTCAGTCAGGACTTCTGATTTCAAGTCCTCTTTGTTCCTCCACAATTACTTGTCATTCCACAGGGTAGAAAGGGTGGAAGGCAGAAGGGTAGAAATAAAGACCAGAACACTAGTATTTCAGGCTGTACCTTGACACTTCCGTGGGGTAAAGGGGTGTGTACAAGGTGGGCAGCTTTCTGTGGGAGACTAGTACAAAGAAAGATGGGGAAAGGGAAGCCAGTGATGGGGTACCAGGGTGGCTCAGTCAGTTAAGCCTCTGACTTTGACTTCAGCCGAGGTCATGATCTCACGGTTCATGAGTTTGCGCCCTGCAATCGGTCTCTGTGAAGACAGCTCAGAGCCTGGAGCCTGCTTCGGATTCCGATTCTATGTCTCCCCCTCTCTCTGCCCCTCCCCCACTCATGCTATGTCTCTCTCTGTCTCTCAAAAGTAAATACATGTTAAAAAAATTCTTTTTTAAAGATAAAGGGAAGCCAGTGATGCCAAAGACAAACTTGGACTCCCTTACCACTTTCCCCAGGGTGCATACTTTTTACATATAGATTATTCCCCTATTTCACACAAAAAGAAGCATACATCTAAGTTCGCACAAGCTTATTACCACCAGGTCGAGGGACAGAGACTTTGCTCCGATTCATGGTATAGGGAGCTAGTGCAAGCTGCCAATTCTGGAATCAGAACTCCCAATTTGCCCTCAGTGATAGACTTTGGTGTCTTCAGAAGTATTCTCAAAAACAGCTCCAAACAAAATGAATCACGGTTCATTTGCTTTTAAAAATTAGTCCCCACGCAATTTTAGGGTATGGAAGGGAGAAGAGTGTCATTAAGATTAAGCAAATATGTGAAGTTGAAATTTCAAAACAAGAAAAGGAGAGAGTTAAATTTTTACTGCCAGGGGGGTCTGGGTGGCTCAGTGAGTTAAGCATCGAACTTCAGCTCAGGTCGTGATCTCATGGTTCATGGGTTCGAGCACCGCATAGGGCTCTGTGCTGACAGCTCAGAGCCTGGAGCCTGCTTTGGATTCTGTGTCTCCCTATCTCTCTGTCCCTTCCCCACTGGCTTGCTGTCTCTCTGTCAAAAATAAATAAACATTAAAAAAATTAAAAAAAAATTTTATTGCCATCTATAGCCCTCAAAGAGGCTTTGTTCTTAACTAACCTGGAGCTAGTGATAATCCAGTAAGAAAGCAAGGGAGAAAGTCCAATGGCATTGACTGCAAAGAGAGAAATAGTACAACGAGAACTTTCTAGCAAATTTAACCTACTCAATTTAAAGGGAAACCTTGGGTTGTCTGGACTAGTTGCCTGACTCAACTCTCTGTCTAACTGTGCCAAGCAAACTCTCTTGGTACAAGTCCCGATGCTGGAAAGATGAAGGAACCCCAAAGACTTCCAGCGTGTGCACACCCTTGGTCAAGTAAGACTGGGACTGAGGCATGCGGGAAGCATGGTCTTCCAACATATACATCTAGGACCCAGAAACACAAGTCCTAAAGAGTACACACAACATGTCTGAAAGCAAATGTCATGGGTGTGTATACCACAATTACATGGATCCAATCGGATCGACCAACTCAGCTGCCAGGAGGACCCAACATTTCATATGTCTGCCTTGAGTCTCTACTGTAGGTACTTGCCAAAACAGATGAAAACCCAGAAACCCCAACTCAAAATCTTAACTTGAGATGACAAAGACGCTCACCTATCACAATTTAGATAGGTAATGATGGGAAACTCTATGTAAATTAAATGTTATTAAATCCAATGTAATTTTCTAATGCTTAATTTTTTTGTCCAGACCTTCTTTTTAATTACTTTTTGAGGAAGGGTTAGGGGGAACAGCTAAAACAAACAAACAAAAAAAGAAACGCAGAATTAGAAATTAACAGGCAGGAATTAGTATGATTTCATGGCTCCCAAAAATTCTTTCTGTGGCCATAGTCGCTGACCTTTACTAAGACCAATTTATTCAACTAAAAATAAATAACCAAATGGACAGCGATTGGAGCAGAAGTTATCACATTAGTCCTACTGCCCAGGCCCCCGACATAGCCCTGGTTCCTATCCTTTTCTTGGTGTGGTTGTTAAGCTGTTTCTTTGGTTCCAAAAACTACATCTGGGTCAATGTTTGTCTAACAACAGATTCCTCTGTATTTGTTTCCTCCTAAGTAAGGCAGTCAGAGGTGCTGGTGGTAGTGGTGGTAAGTAAATAACAGACTTGAGAAAAATAATCCAGACGACTCCCTTATTTTATGAAGGTGGCCACTGAAGCTCAGGAAGGGGTGGGGGCCAGAAGGGCAGGGAAGATGGGTGATGGGCACCGAGGAGGGCACTTGTTGGGATGAGCACTGGGTATTGTATGTAAGCGATGAATCACAGGAATCTACTCCCGAAGCCAAGAGCACACTGTATGCACTGCATGCTCGCTAACTTGATAATAAATTATATTTAAAAAAAGGAGAAAAAAATAAATGGCTTATCTATGTCACATAAACAGAGAGAGTGGATTCTGAAAATAGGCTTTTCACTCTCCCATCCATCCTGCATTAGTAAAGGAGAAAATGTAAGGGTAATAACTAATCCCCAAATAGCTGGATGTTAAAACCGAGGAAGACCCATAATACAAATATTTCCACAGCTCAAAGAAAAATATGCAAGTTATAACAAGCACCATTGGAGAAGTAACACATTCTCCAAAGTGGATAGATCAGCGACTGCCCCCACAGCATACCTTTAAAACATAAAGTGGGTACTTCTCGTATGAGGATCCAATGTGGATTTTTTCAACCATATCAGGATACTTTTCAGTTATAACTTCAATCCAAGAATAGATCTATCAAAGCAGAAACCAGCAGTCAGTCGCAGAACAAGTTCAAAGCATTTTCCTGGCCCAAGGAAGGAGACAATTTCATCAAGGCAAGGCGATCCCTTTAAAATCTTTGCATAGGAAATAATAAGGAACAAAAACAGTTGGGGCAGGGTGTTTCTTCTGCTGTTTCGGAAAATAGATAAAATTAAAGTTTTGAAAGATATCAAGGGTTAGAGAAAGAGTAGAAAAGGACTGAAAAACAGCACAAAGTAGAAAAAGTTAATCTTAAAAATTTTTTTTAATATTTATTTATTTTTGAGAGAGAGACAGAGACAGAGACAGAGAGAGACAGAGACAGAGGGTGAGTGGGGGAGGGGCAGAGAGAGGGAGACACAGAATCATAAGCAGCTCCAGGCTCTGAGCTGACAGCACATGATGTGATTCGGGGCTGGAACTCACGAACTATGAGATTATGACCTGAGCTGAAGTCAGACACTTAACCAACTGAGCCACCCAGGCGCCCTGAAAAAGTTAATCTTTAAAGTGTATCTCCTGAAAGTTATTTTTAAAGGCTCATTACATTGAATCCCTGCCTCCACGTGTGAAATCTTCTTTCCCATTCATTCATGAGTTCCCATTTATATAGAACCTTTTTCTTATTTTTTTAATATTCATTTTTATTTTATTTTTTTTACTTTTTATTTATTTTTGAGAGAGTGAGAGAGAGAGAGAGAGAGAGAGACAGACAGACAGAGAAACTGAAGAAGGCTCCAGTCTGAGTTGTCAGTACAGAGCCTGACACGGGGCTTGAACTCACAAACCGTGAGATCATGACCTGAGCCAAAGTCAGACACCTAACCGAATGAGCCACCCAGGCGCCCCTAAGAAGAGTAACCTAAAGAGGCCCTGGGCACTGTCTTTGTACAGGATAAATCACCATTGTTCCCCACTAGAGATCTGTGCACTCGCAACAAGATGTGTAAAATGATAGGAGGCAGAGGTGAGGACAATCTGCAGGAAAAATATTCTCTCGTTTGATTCAGGACCTTTCTCCTGGCTGCAAGTCTAGTGGTGGTTGTGATTCTGTCCAGATTACAGTGGAAGGAAGAGACAAAAACTCCCGGACCTGACTTGAGGCTAGTGTCCACTTCAAATCAGGGTTTGAATGATGGAACTCGGTCATGTTTGCAGACCAACTTCTCAGGGGCCATACTTGTATTTGTATACCTTCTGCAATGTGAGTGACCAACCCTTGGCCTTATTTCTGGGACCTTATCTAGAGGTAATTTCAAGTTGATGGGACCTGGAGCACCGTGGATCCTCTCAAAGTAGCATAACTAGGGTAAGTGGTTGTCCTGTGCTGGGGATTAAGATGCTCTCTGAAGGCCCACCTGTCACCAAATACCAATGCTGTCCGTGCCTGCAGTGTTGGGCATCTAACCATCAGAGATTTCCTCGCTGGGCCTCTGTGTACCATGCTACTCTTCTAAGGCATGAGTGCATCTGAGACAACTACTACATGAAACTATTTTGTGTTTCAATATTAATGGTTCGGTACATTTCCTCCAAGCAGGGAGGCTGTGTTGTGTGAAGGCAGCTTTACAGGAAACTGTTCATTTCACAATCTAATCTGAGCTAGTGAAGGTAACACCCTTTGAATAACTCTCTTCTTTTGCCGTTTGTCTTAAGGAGTTATTTTTTGGCCAGGGCGCCTGGGTGGCTCAGTCGGTTAAGCGTCTGACTTCAGATCGGGTCATGATCTCGCAGAGTCGTGGGTTCGAGCCCTGCGTCGGGCTCTGTGCTGACAGCTCAGAGCCTGGATCCTGCTTTGGATTCTCTGTCTCCCTCTCTCTCTGCCCCTCTGCTGCTCTCTCTCTCTCTCTCTCTCTCTGAAAAATAAACATTAAAAAAAAAAGAGAGAGAGAAGAAGCGTTTTTTGGCCCTTTGTTTTTCTCCCTACGGTGGATCCTAGTAGGAATCAATGACAAAAGAACTCTCCTGCCCACCAGGTGACCTCGCGGTGAGGGCTGAAGGAGAGATCAATGCCGAGGGCGAGGGCGAAGGAAGGACTTGGTAGAATTTCCTGAGGGCCAGATGGCCATGGATCCTATGAACCCTAAGGATTGAGGGGGGGGAGGGAGGAGAGGTCTGCAATGTTTCCTGGATTGTCACTGTTATGAACTGAATTGTGTTCTCTGAATTCATACACTGAAACCGTAACCCCCAGCGCCTTAGAACGTGACTACATTTGGAGATAGGGCCGTTAAAGAGGTAATTAAGTTAAAATGAGGCTGCTGGTGTCGGCCCTCACCCACCCTGCCTGGTGTCCTCATAAGGAGTGGAGATCAGGACATAAACATACGGAGGGAAACCAGGGATGTGCACACAGAGAGAAGGGCATGTGAGGACACACTGCGAAGGCAACCGTCTACAAGTCAAGGAGAGACACCTCAGGAGAAACCACCCCTGCTGTCACCTTGATGGTGCACTTCCAGCCCCCAGAACTGGGAGAGAATACATTTCTGTGGTCCAAGTTACCCAGTCTGGGGCAGTTTGTTATGGCAGACTAATAGTCATGTCCTTCCCCCCCCCCCCCCCCCCCCCCGCCCCATGTCCTTCCCACTCTCTCCTGGAGACAAGGTAAGAAAAAGTCACCTTTTTGAACAAAATCACGAAAAAATATTCTTAAAATATTTAAAAGTACTTTTTTCAGGCGTTCCCCTCTTCCCATCGAATTCAGCACAGCAGTGATTTTGCAATCACACCCACCGAGCGTCTCGATCTCCGGCATCAGATTGGGGACACTGGAGGGGAGACGTCTCAGGGGAATAGAGACAAGGGAGGAGAGACAAAGGAGGGGATGCAATTTTAAGATCCCCATCAATCAGCCAGGCACATGGATTCTAGAAGCCGACCGAGTTCCGGTTTAACTAACTGGAAAGGAACAGATGCTTTTGAAGATTAAATAGCAAATTGATTCGTATTTCTTAAGTCTTAGATGTCTTAAAAACATGGATATGGTCCTTAACAGTTTCTGGGCACCTAGCCAAAGATGATAAAAATACTTAACATTAGGCAATACAGCAGCATACTCCGATGAAGGAATAAAAGGTATCAAGGGATTCTTATTACTTGGAGCATACTATATAAAAAAAGAAAGTCCTCTAAGGAGTTTACCCTTTCAATTAACAATATGGGGAAACGGTTCTGAGAGTGTTACATGAAAGGTTACAGCCGAACAGCAGCATTTTTCTCAGGTTCCCTGTAGCAAATGGGAACCTGTAAGTACTGATAGGGAAAAAAAATCAACTTCTTAAAGATTAAAACACAGCGGCGCCTGGGTGGCTCAGTCGGTTAAGCGTCCGACTTCAGCTCAGGTCACGATCTCACGGTCCGTGAGTTCAAGCCCCGCATCGGGCTCTGGGCTGATGGCTCAGAGCCTGGAGCCTGCTTCCGATTCTGTGTCTCCCTCTCTCTCTGCCCCTCCTCCGTTCGTGCTCTGTCTCTGTCTCAAAAATAAATAAACGTTAAAAAAAAAAATACAAGTGGTATTATTATCAGTAACGTTATTCATTTAAATAGATTCCTCCTAAGGGGAATAAAATGTATGTATTTACCACGTACTAAGTATGAGTGAGTAAATTCCTCTAATTCAGCGAGAGAAAATGTAGCAATTATTCAGTAAGAACACCATCAGGGTAATAGTCCAAAGACACATGGTTAATTAGACTGTTAATTTCTTTGGGGCAGTGTCAATAAAAAGGCCCTATTTTTATTTCCTGTTGTTCCTTAACGTGTAGTGTTACTGCTAGCAGTTAGAGACACTCTCAACTCTGGACAAACAGCCTGCTTACAGGCAGGGTCCTAATAGAATGCAACCTCCCCAGGGAAGATATCCACAAGAGGCTAGGTTACCACCGTACAATCAACCTAATCGTAATTTTTTTTTTTTTACTCTCTTCCACTAATTCTGTTTTTTAATAATATCCCATGGTTGAAATGGCCATGCTAATTAAATTAAAATAGTGATTTTGGAGAGCAACGTAATGGCTTACTTCATTTAGCGAGTGGTACTGTTCGTAGTACGAGGAAGAGGTCCGGGGGCTGACCGTGTCATTGGCAGTCTGCTGTTGAATGAGATCTGCCACTTCTTCCACCAGGATGCTGGGGGACGAAACAGAGGGACAGCTGATTTCCAAACAGGACTCTGATTCTCCCACGGCCCACTGCGGGTACGGCAACAGGTGAGCATGGGGGAAAAAAATCACTGAGAAATTTAACGAGGTAAACTTCATCAAGGTGCAAACAATAACCCCTCACGCGGTAGCAGGCTGAAATTCACAGACCTTCTTGGTGGAACCCACATGAGAGCTGAAAGTGGCTCCTGTGTGATGTGTTTTGAAGGGCTCCCCAAACTCACCCTTTCCTCACCATTACCAACATTCCTTGACTGTGATTCGTCAGTGTCTTTAAGGTTAATGGACAACTTTCTTAAATCCAGACTAACATTGTATTATTCTGTTTTCAGCTGAGGACCAAGGAGAAGCAGAAAGCCTTTTCTTTTTGTTTTTCATCGTGACAGCCATTGACCTACACCAGATGTTCTGCATAGCCAAAGATGATCAAATCTCTAGAGAAACAGAGGCACAGGGAAAGAGAAGGTACCAGAAAGGCAGCTTGTTTAATTCTCTTGAGAATTGCCACACTGTTAACTAGGCAAACATTTTAAGTGAATTAAGCTGTTGCGTCACCTGGGATGAACCGTTGGAAAGTTAGCTATCATTTTAATGTTATTCCTTTTTTTGGAGGGGTCAGCAGATAAAAGCCAAGGCTTTGACATCAGAGAAGTCTGAGTTCAACTCTTTGCCCTGCTATGTTCTATGTGTTATGATCTTGAGAAATTCCTTTGTGAGTATGAAACAGTTTTTTCATATCTGCCTAATGAGGATAGTATCTATCTTACAGAGGTAAATAAGAATTAAATGAAGCAATGTGTAGAAGGGCTCAGCACAGTTCCAGGAAGGCGGTAAACACCTATAACATATTACTAATAATCATCGTAGTGTCTTATCCAAAGGCTGCCCATTGATAAGCGGGAGAGAGCTTGGCCTCCAGGAATGCTAGCGTCGCAGGTGGAATCCTGGCTCTTAAACAGCAGACATAGTATAGAGACATTGAACAGGAGCATCTGAGAGGAAGGGGGTGTGGCGTCTGGACAGAAATGGCCTCTGATACAACGTTTAGTTTGGCCCAGATGTTCAGGAAGGTTCTCTGACCTTGCAAAGCAAGGAAGGAAGCAGAATCCCCTTCAGCAGCTGCTTTTTCAAGAGATACCACAAAACCTGCTACAGTGAATGACAATTTTGCTCCCCAGGTCTAGGCACAGAGCAGAGGAACTGAAAAAAGGAAGGAATAAGGAGGAACTATAGGAGGCTCCCCAGATCACTGAGTCTGAGTCATTTTCAGGCAAGAGACCCAGGTTGTGAGAGGTGAAGCCGCTTGTCCAAGGTCGTAGAGCTGGCCACTTAAACTTCATCACCGGTCCACTTCAGAGATTTCCGTGTTGTCATGTTCGGTGTAATTATTTATTTTTTCCAGAAAGCAATTATACTGGCTGCTAATACAATGCCTCATAGGTGCGTCTAATGGCTGCTCAAGAAATACTGAACGATGCCTACCTGAACAGAATCGCGTTGTCATGTAAATTTGCTTTCACGTTGCTTACATCAGAGGCATTCACAAAAAAATGGACTTCTTTCTTCTTCTCAATAAATTCAGCTGTTACCGGCTGCCAGAGAACAATCTGCATTTTTCAAGGGGAAGAATTGATAAAAACAAAAACAGTTGTTTGCATCCTTCTCATCTATAGCTAAAGCCATAAACCGTGTATCGATAGAAGTGAAACAGACATTTCCTAGCCGCTGGTCCCCATTCACACACGTGGCAGTGTAAACATTTATTTTGCAGGGAGCTCGTCTTATTCTTTTCTGTGACCCCAGTAGAGAGGCCCCGGAACATACAACACACTCAATAAATATTTGGTTAGACAAGAATGAACGAGCCAATGAATATATTTATGACCCAACTCTAAAGCTGGATGTGTATGTCAGATGTTTAAAGGAGAAATGAAATTCTGTCTAGAAAGAAAGTTAATTTACTGTTGATCTTCTTTAATAAAAATTCCATGTCCTTGATATTGTTATCATGTTGATATGCCTTTTCTTTAATCTAATTATGGGCTTTGGGCAATGACTTTTAATACTACTGACTTTTTTTTCTACTTTACTGCACTTTTTTCAAGCATTTCCACACCCATTTCCTTTGACCATTATAATTATGCTTTGATGTAGGCGAGGCGGGTGTTACTATTTCCATTGTGGAAATAATGAAGAAATTAAGGCCCACAGCCAGCGTGTCTAAAATCATACACGTAGGAAGTGGCAGATTAAGAACTAAGATTCTAAATGTCTAACGCTTTCTCCAGAGGTATGTCCTCTGTCCATGGTGTGATGGCCATGAAAACGCACCACTCGGTGCTTCTGTTGAGAGGAGCATAGTTGAAAGGCCTTCCCAGCCACTGCCCCTCTTGATCCACCCGAGCCTGATGCCGTGCTGCCCCGGGGCTGCAGCCAGCCACGGACCAGGCACTGAGGGCATATTCTTGCAGGACACTTCTTGCGAGATATGGGTTTTCAAAGCCCGGTGGCTTTGGCTTCAGGACTGACCACTGGTCTGGCCAGACCTTCATCGGAACTGCCCCGGAATCTACAAAGTCTCCGTGTCTGCAAAAGTGTCAGAGCTGTGTCTGGTCTGAAAGTGCCCCCTGCCATCTCTGACTTTGTCCTCTTCGTCCTTCCCAAGCATTCCTCTTAGTACACATAGCTGGCATCTTCAATCTGGTTTTGATGTCTGCTTCAGGAGAACCTTCACTGACAAGCAGGGGGCCATCAATTTTCTACCATGACATCTTGTAACTCTTGTCAGCTTTCTACACCTTAGGCATTCTGGGCAGATGGGTCCCAAGCATGAAGATTTTAACAAACGCTCCCCTGTAGTATTGCTGCCTGCTCCTTTTTAAGAACCATTATTTTGTAAGCAAAGTTCTATTGGACTTCTGTCATCATAACATCTTTGTAAGTAGCAACTTTCACTCCCAAAGTGCTACTATGATGAAATTGGCTGGAAAGCCAATAGCACAAACGAAGAATGTTTTGATTTTAGCACCGGCAAAATCATGTGATTATGGGGAGGGGGAGAAGGCTATAAGAAGAGGGGTTTATGTCAGCTATATTTAAGTCAGACAACATATGAGAGAACATGGCACACAAAATTTAGACACCATGAAGCCGATATACAGTTGATCCTTGAAGAATGTGGGGATTAGGGGTGCTGACTCCTGTGCAGTTGAAAATCTGCGTATAACTTTGAGCTCCCCAAAATTTAACTACTAATAGCCCATTGTTAAGTGGAGGCTTACTGATAACATAAACAGTTGATGAACACATATTTTATATGTTGTACATATTATATACAGTATTTTAATTTAAGTTTGAGAGATTTTTATTAAATAATAAATTATTTAATAACAATGGATTATGATTTATTTCGAGAGAGCGAGCAAGTGCAAGCAGGAGAGGGGCAGAGAGAGAGAGAGAGAGAGAGAGAGAATCCCAAGCAGGCTCTGTGCTATCAGTGTAGAGCCCAACGTGGGGCTCGATCTCACAAACCAAACCGTGAGATCATGACCTGAACTGAAATCAAGAGTCTGACACTTAACTGGTTGAGCCACCCAGGCACCTGAATATACATGCTTTTTTTTATAATAAAGTAAACGAGGAAAAATCAAATGTTATTAAGAAAATCATAAGAAAAATACATTTACAGTACTATACTTTTCTTTCTCACATATCTGTGTGTAAGCCGATCCACGCAGTTCAAACCCGTGTTATTCAAGGCTCAAATGCAAAGATAAATGAGGGAAAAATTACCTCATATGTTGTAAGATTCTGCACAATCTGAACTTGCCTGGAGGTTCTAGGAAAAGCTGATAAAACCTGGCCACTGGGAAAGAATAACACAGAATTTTGAGGTTAAATAAAAAAATTTAAATGAGGTTTATTTTTACATAATCCTCTAGGTAATTGTAAAAAGGGAAAAACAAAAACCTTAAATAGTAAAAGAAAAGAGGATCTCTAAGCAGGCTAAGGGTTAAAAAGAGAATAAGAATGAAATATGGCCTTTTGTAGCAACAGATGGATGGAACTGAGAGTGTGATGCTAAGGCTGAAATAGTTACCATACAGAAGAAGATACCATTGGTTTCACTCTTATGTGGATCTGAAACTTAAGAAACCATGGAGGGGAGGAAAAAAAAAAGGTTAAGTGGAGGAGACCAAAAGCATAAGAGACTGTTAAAACGGAGAACAGATGAGGTGATGTGGAGGGGAGTGGAGGGAAGTAGATGGGCTATTATGGAGGGCACCTTTTGGGATGAGCACTGGGTGTGTATGGAAACCAATGTGACAATAAATTTCATATTATAAAAAAAAAAAAAGAGAACATATACTTTCTCATTCTTTCTGCTCCAAATCAATAGTTCTCTTGAATGGGAGTCAGTCTGCAGAGTACGGACTTCTTTCTTCTGTGTGTGTGTGTGTGTGTGTGTGTGTGTGTGTGTGTGCATGAGTTATAGTTTTAAAAATTAAATATTTGATGCATAAGGGAATATTAATGCTAACACTAGCTTATTACATAATAAAACGAATGCCTGGGAACCCATTACGCCATTTAAGAAATCCAATGTTAATGGTGTCCTTGAAGCTCCTGGTGGGTTCCTCCCCACTCTGCCTCCTTACCACATCCCAAAAGGTACCCACTACCCTAAATTTTCACTTTGCTCATTCCCTTACTTTTTCTCTGTACTATGGATTCTTGAACACATGATGGATTCTTGAATGTGTAGATTCTTAAGACATCCTTAGGTTTGCTTGATGTAACTCTATAAAATTGGTATACTGTACATATCCTTCTGTATCTTATTTTTTTCCCCTCAACATTGTATGTTCAAGGTTATCATCTGTGCTGAAGAATATATTGGGCTGGAATTTGTCTGCAAGTGGAATTGCTACTTCTTGGGGGTAGACACATTTTAATTTCATAGAAATTGGGCAAGAGCTCTTACCACACAATACAGCCCAAACCTAGAAGGAAATGATGGATAAAAAAAGACATCATAGGGGCGCCTGGGTGGCGCAGTCGGTTAAGCGTCCTACCTGAACAGAATAAGCGTTGTCATGTAAATTTATTTACGTTGCTTCACACATCACGGCTTCGTAAACTTTTCTTCTTCTCAATAAATTCAGCTGTTAGCTGCCAGAACAATCTTGCATTTTCAAGGGAAAAAGAATTGGTATTTCAAAACAAAAAACAGTTGTTTGATCCTTCATCTATACTAAAGACCATAAACCAGTGTATCGAGAGAAGGAAACAGACATTTCCTTAGCGCTCCCCATTCACACACGCTGGTCAGTGTAACATTTATTTTGCAGTGTCGTCTTATTCTTTTCGACCCCAGTAGAGAGGCCCCTGGAACATAACACACCTCATAAATATTTGTTAGACAAGAATGAACGAAGCAATATATATTTATGACCCAACTCTAAGCTGGATGTGTTGTCAGATGCTTTAAGGAGAATGAAATTCTGTCTAGAAAGCTACTTACTGTTGATCTTCTTTAATAAAATTACCATGTCTTGATACTCATGTTGATATGCCTTTTCTTTAATCTAATTTATGGGCTATTGACACTCTGACTTTATCTACTGATTTTCACACTGTACTGGTTTTTCAAGCATTTCCACACCATTTCCTTTGACCATTATAATTATGCTTTGATGTAGGCAGGGAAGGCGGGTGTTCTTTTCATTGTAAATAATGAAGAAATTAAGAGCCCACACCAGCGTGTCTAAAATCATACACGAGCTGGGAAGTGGCAGTATTAAGCTTAAGATTCTAAATGTCTACGCTTTCCCAAGGTATGTCCTCTGTTCCATGGTGTGATGCAATAGAAACGCACTATCCTCGGTGCTTCGTGTGAGGGAGATAGTTGAGGTGCCTTCCCAGCCACTGCCCCCCTCCGATCCAATCGGAAGCTTGATGCCCGTGCCCGGGCTGCAGCCAGCCAGGACCAACGGCAATCGCAGGGCATATTCTTGCAGGACACTTCTTGTGAGTATGGGTTTTCAAAGCCGGTGGCTTTGGCTTCTACTGACCACTGGTCTGGCCAGACCTTCATCGGAACTTGCCCGAATCTACAAAGTCTCACGTGTCAATGCTAAAAGTGTCAAGCTGTGTCTGGTCTGAAGTGCCTGCCATCTCTGACTTGTCCTCTTAGAGTCCTTCAAGACTTTCCTCTTAGTACACATAGCTGGCATCTTCAATCTGGTTTTGATGTCTGGGTTTCAGGAGAGTTCACTGACAAACAGGGGCCATCAATTTTCTACCATGACATCTTGTAACGTCTTGTCATGCTTTCTACACCTAGGTCATTCTGGGCAGATGGGATCTAAGCATGAAGATTTTAAAACGGCCTCCCTCTGTAGTATTGCGCTCGCTCCTTTGGAACACGATCTATTTTGTAAGCAAAGTTTATTGGACTCTGTCATCATAACATCTTTGTAATGTATGCAACTTTTCACTCCTAAAGATATCTTTTACTTATGATGAATTGGCTGAGAAGCCAAAACTGGAATGTTTTGATTTAGTACACCGCATCATGTGTAGATAGGGAGGGAGAAGAGACTATAAGAAGAGGGTTTATGTCAATATATTTAAGTCAGACAGATCATATGAACATGGCTACACAATTTAATTTACTGAACCGATATACAGTTGATCCTTGAAGAATGTGGGGACAGGGGTGCTGACTCCTGTGCAGTTGAAAATTCATGGTGATAACTTGGAGCTCCCAAAATTTAACCACACAGCCTAGTGTTAAGTGGAGGCTTACTGATAACATACAGTTGATGAACCATATTTTATATGTTACAATATTATTATATACAGTATTTTAATTTTAAGTTTGAGATTTTATTAAATAATGAAATTATTTAATAAAATGGATAACTGCATTTATTTCCAAGAGAGGCGTAAGTCAAGCAGGAGAGGGGCAGAGAGAGAGAGAGAGAGAGAGAATCCCAAGCAGGCTTCTGTGCTATCAGGTGTGGAAGCCCAATGGATGACTCATCTCCAAACCAACCGTGAGATCAGACCTGAACGAATCACAGAGTCTGGACACTTTGTCGTTGAGCCACCCAGGCAGCGAATATACCTGTATTTTTTATAGTACAAGTAAGCAGGAAAATCAAAGTTGTTAATTGAAAAATCATGAAGAAATACAACAGTAATATCTGCTTTCTTTCTCAACATATCTTGTGTGTCGATCCAGCGACAGTTCAAACCCGGTTATTCAAAAGCAATGCAAAGATAAATGAGGAAAAAATTCCTCATATGTTGTAGTAGATGGTCCTGCACAATCTGAACTTACCTGAGGTTCTTAGGAAAACTGATAAACCTGGCCACTAAGGAAAGAATAACAGAATTTTGAGAGTTAAATAAAAAAAAATTTAAACAGGAATTTATTTACACATATCTCCTAGGGTAATTATGAAAAGGAAAGAATAAAACAACAACCTTAAATAATGTAAAAAGAAAAGGGATCTTCTACAGGCTATAGGGTTAAAAAGAATATAGGAATGAAATATGCCATTTGTAACAACACGTGGATGGAACTGAGGTGTGATGCTAAGTGTGAAATAGTTTCCATACAGAGAAGATACCATATGGTTTCACTCTTATGTGGATGAAAACGTTAACTGAAACCATGGGAGGGGAAGGAAAAAAAAAGGTTAAGTGGAGGAGAACCAAAGCATAAGGAGACTGTTAACACGGAGACAATGAGGCTGATAAGTAGGAGGAGTGGAGGGAGGGAGTAGATGGGATTGAGGAGGCACCTTTTGGGATGAGCACTGAGTGTGTATGGAGAGCCAGCTGTGACAATAAATTTCATATTAAAAAAAAAAAAAGTACTATATACTTTTCCTCATTCTTCTGCTCCAAATCATATAGTTCTCTTGAATGAAGTCAGTCTGCAAAATGCAGGACTTCTTTCTTCTGTGTGTGTGTGTGTGTGTGTGTGTGTGTGTGTGTACATGATTATAGTTTTAAAAATTATATTGATGGCATGGGAATATTAATGCTAACAAGCTTATTACATAACATATAAACGAATGCCTGGGAACCATTACGCCATTTAAGAAATCCAATGTTAATGGTCGTCTTGAATTACAGTGGGTTCCTCCCACTCTGCCTCCTACCACATTCAAAAAGGTACCACTACCCTAAATTTTCACTTCTGTCTATCTCTCTCATACTTTTCTCTACTGGACTATGGATTCTTAACAGCTGATGGATTCTTGAATGTGTAGACTTAAGACATCTTAGGTTTGTGATGTAACTCTATAAAATTGCTATACTGTACATATCCTTCATGATATCTTACTTTTTTCCCTCAACACTTGTGGGTTCAAGGTTATCATCTGTGCTGAGAAGAATATATTGGGTGAATTTGTCTCCAAGTGGAATACTGGTTTTGGGGGGGTAGACACATTTTAATTTCATAATAAGAGCCACTCTACCACACAATACATGTTCCCAAACCTGAAGGAAATGATGGATAAAAAAAAGACGACAAAGACTCATGGTGGCGCCAAGGTGGCACCGGTTGGTTGTCCGACTTCATAGTCACGATCTCACGGTCCGGGAGTTTTCGGGCCCTAGCGATCAGAGCTCTGGGCTGATGCATCAGGAGCCTAGCTGCTCGATTTCCAACTGTGTCTCCCCTCTCTCTCTGCCCCTCCCTCCGCAATGCTCTGTCTCTCCTCTCGCTCCCAAAAAAAAATAAATG